TATAAATGGTATATGAATGTACATGTAGCTTTGTATTATTATGTTCTGGTAAAACAAAATACTCCAGTATTGCTTCTTGTTAACTGTGTTTTTTCCTCATAGGTAGATCGTGATGAATTCAATATTTCCTTTGTCAAGTCAAATGAAGAAAATAAAACCATGGAAATTAAAGACTTAAAAATATTTACCAGATATTCTGTGGTGATCACTGCATTTACTGGAAATGTAAGTGCTGCATATATAGAAGGGAAGTCAAGCCCTGAAGTCATTGTGACTACTTTAGAATCAGGTAGGAGTGCCCTCCCTCATTGGTTGAGTAAGCTGTCTGTCTTACAGTTCCTCACTCTACATTAAACTGAATATAAGTTATGAGAAGTTTTTGAAGAATGTAAATAAAAATAATAATAATTCATTCCTACTGTGATCATCAAAATTAAAGCTATTTATTTTTGAGGCAAAGTGAAAATGTAGAATATTCAATCCTTATAAATATGGAACATAAAGGTACCCAATTGTACTTTTCTATGCTTATGAAATCTGCTAAGTGTTTCAGAAATTGAGTTACCTTGCGTAAGAGATGATTTTTCTAAGCTTCTATAGCCAATAATGCTATATCTAAAACTATATTTTAATTATTTCTACCCTATGATAGGAATGAAAATTAAAGTAATGATCTGGAATTCAATATTAGGATACAGATCACATTTATCATAGATGTTTTCTTTACTCATCAGGTGATATAATTTATTATGTAACTATCCAAGAAATGTCAGAATCTATACAGAGTTTCTCAAGGTCCTATGAACAGGGTCTGAATGAATAAGATTATAACAAGTAGGAATTTAATGTGGAAAGTCAGCCTCCCAGATCCTGCTTGTCCCATCCTCCTTCAGAATCCTGATGTTCTTTGCCACCAGATATGTCACTGGAAAAAGCAGATGAAGGGATGTATTGTTAGAGTTTATTTGTTGCTATCTGTAAGGTAATGTAAGTGGTAAAAATATTTTTAGAAAGTCTTTTAATTATGTTCTCTATTCATTTTGCCTAAAAAGTTATGAATCTAAGTTACAAGGTAAATTTTATCTTTAGCACCCTAAAATTACATTTGTTCATATTTTCCTGCCAAATATGACAGGTATCTAGTTTCTATTGTGATTTTTGCATTTCTCCTTCATCTTCTCTGTGAGGAAATAACTGATGAATGTATTCACATTTATAACACAAAGCACTCATTCTCAAATCCTAATGTTCTATGTTTCCCATAGATATAATGATTTAACATAGTTTTTTACTAAATCTCTAAGAAAATAATCTTATTTTTGTTGGTTCACTTTAGTTATACATAACATTATGATGTATTTTGATACGAAATCATGGGATATAATTTGTTCTAATTCAGTCCCCAGTACTTCCTTTTCTCCTTCCTCCTGTTCCCCATCCTCTGTTCAATTGATCTTTCTGCTATTCATTCATAGTTTTTTTTATTAGTGTCTTGTGGATATTACAG